CCCCAAAACCCCAAAACCCCAAAACCCCATCTATGTTAATTAAAGTGTGAGATAGACTTTATCCACCGATAAATATTAATTTATTTATAAAATGTAAACTATCAGTAATGTAGGCACTGATCCCATGGTAGCTGGCATTAATTCCATAAGTGTATCATAATTGAATAGTGCTTAGAATAAAATACCTATCTATTTGCCATCTCAAATTAAGCCAGGCTTCAAGATTCTGAAGGATCATTCTATAAAAGACTTGGCCCAGCAAAGCAAGGTAGCAATCTCTCGAACTCAATTGAACTCCAATATGAGCAGTCCTATGACAAGGAACTCTAATATTCCTTAGAGTGTGATAACTAATGCTAAAATGGGGTCTATTGATTCTAGAAATTTTAAAATGAACAAGAATTACCAATTCAAGTCTCAAATAAACTTACTTTCAAGGAATGAAACTATAAATGGCTACAAGCCTATAGCTGAGTATTCAAACATGGATAGTCAGTCTTAACAGGATTCAAGCACTGTTGTAAGAAATTAGAAATATCATCAAGATAAGTAACTTAGAGAGGAGAGCATGTACAGGCACAAACAGATTGAAATCCAAGAAAAGAAAACTAGAGATTTACTGAAGAAGCTCACCTAGAAATAGGTTACTAAGAAAAAGTACAATGGAGATGAAAGTGGAACAATAGATAACTATAATTCCAAAAATGACGACAATATCAAATCTATTGAGAATGATATAATGATATCCCATGAACAATCAATTGATGAGGAACAACAGACAACTTCTAACATCTACAGTGATTCAATTCTAAAGCAAAAGTAGTAGCAAGAATACGAGTAGAGTCCGCAAAGGACTTTAAAAAATGCCAAACTAATACAGTCTCAGTCAGAGAGATCAATTACTGGAATATCATAGTATCTTGTTCAAAATCAAAAAGTACTCCCTTCTGATAAGTCAAGGAACAATCATTATTTTAACACAAAAGAGCCAAATACTGCAATGGACTCTAATAAGAGCACAAGTCTTAAGCCTAAGAGAAATAACAAGTACATTATAAAGGAGATGAATAACTTAGATGACAATGATGAACTCATCATGCGCTTGAAGCTCTTTGGTAAAGTTGGTGGAGATTCAAGCAGAAAGATTGACGCCAAGGATGCTGAAGAATTTCAATAGCTTTAGCAGGACGAGGACTACATTGATGAGTTGGCGAAACAGTTTGAGCAAATGACTGACTAGAAATCATAAAAGTATTTCAAGGATCACATCAAAGACAAGATCGCAGATCAATACAACTAGATGCCAGTGAGTCTCGTTGCGCTCTCTCAAAACAGAAAGTATATATTAGAACAGCTATTCAATAGAAAGAATTTATTCCCTCCTCAGAGAAGATCCCTTGAGCTTGCTAAACTGTAGTCAAAAGATGAATAACAAGAGGGCGGTATCAAAGTGTCTGAAAGCCAGCGAAACTTGCACCTGCCTCAAATCTAAAACAGAAACTCCTAGTCTTCAGCCTAGCGATCTAGATTCCTGTAAGACCTACGCAACTTATCTATCGGTAAATTCAAGGAGGGTTTCTTGAAACAGGAGGATGACCAGAGAAAGAATACTGAAGTCAAAAAGTACAAGAGCAGGGGCTAGTTCGAAAATGTGGCTAACTTCTATAGGTTTCTACCTCAGGAAAGGCAGAAGAAGATAGAGAAGCAGATCAACAGACTGCTTGACGAGAAGCAGCGAATGTCTGAAATGGATCAGTATCTGGAGTTTTACATTAGAGATGGGGACAAGATAGACGAGGAGGCTGAGTAGCAAATGGATAGAACACAGGCTATTATTAATGCGCCAATCTTATGATTACAAGTTAATGATGAGGATTATACTTAGAGGTTATTTTATTTCATAATTTATTTATAAATGTGAATTCATGATTTAAGGGGTTTTGGGGTTTTGGGGTTTTGGGG